ATTCGAACCGTTCATATATATCTTTGTTATGTGAAGATTAAACCTGCATTTCAGCCGAAGATATTTTCGAAACGTCAGTCCGTCCTTTTATAGTGAAGAATATACTATTTCAGACGAAGATATAATCGAAACCGGTCACATACATACATTTTATAGTGGAGATAAATGTAAATATCAGACGAAGACTATATTTCAAAACCGGTTCATATTATCCTCTTGTATTGTGAAGATATTCATTCCTCATTCATACCTTTTTTCTACAGTCCTCTTCTTCTCTTCCTCTTCTTTCGGTATCTTATCGTTATCCTTAAATTATTCATCAAGTTCACTTTTCCTCCTTTCCTAATTTTACCCATTTTTTCCTCTCTCCTCTTCCTTCTCCTCTTCTCCTCTCCTCCTCCTCCTCTCTTCTCCTCTTCTTCTCCTCCTCCTCCTCCTCCTCCTCCTTCCTCCTTCCCTCCTCTTCTCTTCCTCATCCTCCTTCTTCCTCCTCACCTCCCTCCTTTTTCTTTCCCCTTATTCTTTCCCTCTCTCCCTCCACACCTTTCTCTTTCCTTCCTTCTCTTTCTCCTCGCCCTCTCCTCCTCCTCTTTCTTCACTTTATCCTCCTTCTCTTCTTTTCCTCCTCCTTCTCTTCCCTTCTCTCCTCCTCTTCCTTTCCTCTTCGTCCTTCCTCTTCCCCTCTTCGTCCTCCTCGTTCTCCTCTCCTCTTTCCTTTCCTTCTTCTCCTCCTTCCTCCTTCACTCTCTTCCCCTATTGCCTCCACTCTTCTCTCTTTCCCTGTCCTTCTCTTCCCCTCAGTGCCACGCCTTACCCTCTCCTCCTCCTCATTTTCTTCCTCATCCTCATCCTCTTTCTCCTTCTTTTCCTCCTCCCTCTTTTTTACCCACCCCTCCTTTCTTTCCTTCCTCTCCTTCTCATCCTTCTCATCGCATCCTCCTCCTCCTTCTTCTCCTCTCCCTCTTTTTTACTCCACCCCCTCTTTCTCTCCTTCCTCCTCCTCCTCCTCTTCCTCTTCTTCTCCTTTTCCTCCCTCCTCCTCCTCTTCCTCTTCTCTTCCTCCTCTTCCTCCTCTTCCTCTTCTTCCTCCTTTTCCCCTCCCCCTCCCCTCCCTCCTTCTCCTCTTCCATCTTTAAGAAAGCAGCAGCAACACTGTCATCCTTCGCCCTCAACACGCCCATTCGCATAAATATTTCGCTGCGGGGTATAAAAAGCCTTTTTTTTTCTTCTTTGTTCGCTTCCCCCCTTTTTTTCTTTCTTTCTTTCTTTTTCCTTCTTTTTCCGTTTCTTTTTGTTTTGTTTTTTTACTTGGCGGAGGGGGGGGGGTCGTGGTGGTACAGGGGAAGACGGTTTGCTATTTTATCTATTTTTTTGTAATCGTTGTTTCGTTGTTTTGTTTGTTGTTGTTGTTGTTGTTGTTTTTGTAGTTACAATATGGTTAGTATCATTATCAGTGTTACATATTTTTTTCTTCTTCTTTTTTCCGTTTTCTTTTTTTTCTCTTTTTTATTCAATGTCATGAATGTAATCATCAATATTACTTATCATTGTTATCATTATTATCATA